GGTGGGGACAGTGGGGGGACAGTGGGACAGTGGTGGGGACGGTAGTGGTGGGGACAGTGGTGGGGACAATGGTGGGAACAGGGGGGACAGTGGACAGTGGTGGGAACGGTGGTGGTGGGGACAGTGGTGTGGGGACAGTGGGAATGAGGTGGAAACACTGGGACAGTGGAGGGTACAATGGTGGTGGGACACTGGTAAAGGCGGTGGCGAGGACGGCGGTGGGACAATGGGACAGAGGTACAGTGGGGACAGTGGTGGGGACAGTGGGCACAGTGGTGGAAACAGTGGGACAGCTCAGTGGGACAGCGGAGGAGTCAGTGGGACAGTGGGGACAGTGGGGATAGGCAGTGGTTGGGTCCGTGGAGACAGTGGGGAGAGTGGAACCGTGGTGGGAACAGTTGTGGGAACAGTGGGGAAGTGCGGCAGTGGTGGGGGCACTGGTGGGGACAATAGGGACGGTGGTGGAACCAGTGGGGACAGTGGTGGTGAGGACAGTGGTGCTGGGAACAACAGTGGGGGATGTGATGCGAGCGGTGGTAGGGACCGGGAGTCGTTTGCTGGCGGTGCGTGGGGAGGGGGGTCGAACCGGTAGTGACCCCCCTCCGGTTTTCGAGGGGGGGGTGGGGGAAACCGTTATGACCCCCCCCCCGGTTTTCCGATCCGGTAGGGGGAGGGGGGGGAGGGGTTCGAACCGGTAGTGACCCCCCCCGGTTTTCGAGGGGGGGGAGGGGTGGGGAGGGAACCGGTGTTAGAAGGGGAGGGGGGAGGGGGGGGGGAGGGGGGGGGGGGGGGGGGGGGGGGCAGGGGGGGGGTGGGGGGGGGGGGGGGGGGGGGGATTTTTTCTGGAGGGTGGGGGGGGAGACCCCCCGGTTCTGGAGGAAAAGGTTGGCAATTTTCCACAGTAAAGCGGCGGTGGATCACGCTCTCTCATATATAATTACACATATATGACCGTCACCGTACTAAACCAGGGGGTCCAAGAGGCTTGCAAGGTGCTTTGCGGAAGCAGTTTTGAACCATCTTGACGCTGTTTTAGCGTCTCTTGGGGCTTTGGGGGGGCCTCTTGGGGAGCTGGGGCCTTTTGGGGGCCTCTGTGAGGGTCCTTGGTGCCTCTTGGGGGCCGTTTGGAGGCCTGTTGAATGCGTCTTGGGCCGTCTTGGGGCGATCTGGGGGGCGTCTTGAGCCGTCTTGGAGCGTCGGGAAGGCGAGAAGTTGTTGATGCTGAAAACGTACGTTTTACGACAGGGAGTGTGGCGAGTTTGGCCTCTTGGGGTGTTTGGGGACGAAAAGGAGCCTTTGGGACTGCCGTGGGGCCATCGCGGACGTCTTGTAGCCCCCTTGGCCCACCTTGGGGCCCTCTGGAAGCCATCAGGAGCCGTCTTGGGCCCTCCAGGCGCGCTCGGGGCTCAGCGGCCCCCAGTGGGACGAAGGTGTAGCCGGATCAGTTGTCTATGTATATGGCTACTCCTTGTACTAGTAGAGCTATCTTCCTCTCTCGCTCTCCCTTTCTCTGTTTTTCTCTCTCTCTCTCTCTCTCGCTATTTCTCTCTCTGTCTCTCTATAAATCTCTCGTTATCTATGCTATATATTGGTTGCTCTATACATGTGCATAAACATGTACATACACAACTACACGTACTTATATGTGTCCACATACATATACATGTAGATATGCATCTGTATATCCGTATACGTATACATATGCATGTATATATACAACTATGTATAAACAAACACATAAACAGCATTGGGTATACAATTAGAATACACATATACACATACCTATACACATACAAGTACACACACATATACACATGTCGTTACTATACATGTAAATGCGTGAATACGAATGTATACACACATACATATACATGTACACTTACACATGCAATTATAAATATATGCAATTGCACAAACAAATACGTTTAAATGCACATACCTACACACGTACACATACATATGTGGATGTATGTATGAGTGTACGTTGTGCAGTGTATGTGGGGCAGACGAAGCTGTGCAGTACTTGTAGTGCATTCCATGTTGCAGGCGAAGCGCACCACAGGCGTGAGACACAATTCGTGCAATCGATGTGCTGCAACTTGTGCAGAGCCACTAACGTGGTGCAACCTATGTGGTGCGACAAGGTACAGTAGATGTGGTGCAATATAGTACGTGCGATATGTGGTGTGCCATCTTTGTGGCGGCGCTGTGCCAACGATATTGTGCAATGTGTACGGTGCCATGTATGCTGCGCAATATTTGTTGGGCGATATACTTGGTGCAACTACGTTGTGCTATGTATATATATATATATATATGTGTGTATACATACGTGTGTGGTGCAATCCTGTGTCTGTGGGCGTTTGTAAAGCACGCCGCAGGCGCGAAACACAAATCGTGCAACCCATGTGCTGGAAGTTTATGTCGGGCCATGTGTGCGCATCTTGTGTAGTGCCATCTACGAGGTGCAATCCACTTCGACTGTCTTGAAGCTGTCCTCTCCACTGCTCGTGCAAACATCCCACCCTCCCACCCGCAACTTGGTCGCAAGACATCTTCAGACAAGACCGTGACGGTAGGTACTGCGTGGCACTTGGCCACGACACCGATGCCGACGACGACAGCGACATCGACGACGACGGCGCCGCCGACAGCGACTGCGACGACACCGACGACGTCTCCAATGTTTTCGACGACGACAACGACGACGACGACACCGACGACGACGACAACGACGCCGACGACGACGACGAAGACGACGACGACGTCGCCAACGGAGACGACGACGAGGGAGGAGAAAAAACGACGACGGCGACAACGACGACAACGACGATGGAGGAGGGAAGACGGCGACGACGCCAACGACGAAGAAGGAGGAAGGACGGCGACGCCGACGACGACAACGACGAGGGAGGAGGGAAGACGACGACGACGACAACGACGACGAAGACGACGACGACGGCGACGAAATAGGAGGGACGACGACGAGACGCCGACGACGGACGACGACGACGAGGGAGGAGGATAACGACGAGGGAGGAGTGAAGACCACGACGACGACGACGACGACGACGACGGCGACGAAATAGGAGGGACAACGACGAGACGCCGACGAAGACAACGAGGGAGGAAGGACGACCACGGCGACAACGACGACGGAAACGACGACGACGCCAAAGACGACGAGGAAAGACAGAAGACGACGACGGCGACGACGACGACGACGACGACGAGGGAGGAGGGAGGAGGACGACGACGACGACGACGCAAGAGCGCGCGCGCACAATTTTGTTGAAAACCCGTGTTGCGAAACCTTGTGTTTTTGTATGTTTTTTGGGCGCACGATTTCGACATTCTTCCGAAACCGAAGGTTTTTGAAGGATTTCGGCATACGCCCGCGACGACGCGCGCGTCTGCACTTCGTCTCATTTTTTGCAGAGGACTCTCGCGACGGCACACGCGCAAGAGCGTTCGACAGATTTCGACATGCGCGCGCGCGAAGCCCGTTTGGTAGCATTTTGAAAATCTTGGAAAACCTATGGTTTTCTTAAGATTTCGCAAGAGCTCGCGCGTAAGTTTTTTTGGATCAGTGTTGCGAAACCATGTGTTTTTATATGTGGTTTGGAAATTCAATTTTGAAATCTCTCCGGAACCGAAGGTTTTTGAAGGATTTCGGCATGCGCGCGCCACGACGCGCGCGTGTGCACTTCGTCCTATTTTTTGCAAGGGATTCGTGAAAAAGTGATATGTTAGAACAAAACATTTCACCGCATAGTGTTTTTTTACAAGGGAACCGCAGGGGGGGAACCCGGCTTGGCTGGGATGGTACGAATTCATATTTAGGATGGACATGTGGTTAGAATCATATGTAATTTACAGCACGCGCGGGGGGGCCGATAAGTCCGGGGGGGGTAGAATCTATTAGTCTTTTAGAAAGGAGAATATATGTGGGGCCATCGATGTTATACAACATGTGTTGTGCAGTCTACCAGGCTGTGCAACGCCATCTGGTGTTATTTGGGCTGGGCAATCCATGTCGTGCGATCTATGTGTGGTCCCACGCATGCTGTGCAATGGATGCCGCGCACTCCCAGAATAGCCAGATCGACCACAACCAGAGCGCGCATGTCGAGATCGGCGGGTTCTCCCCCGAGGGACCCTCCAGTAAAAACTCAGCTCGCTGTGGCTGCGGTGTTCTGCTGCGCACACGAGCTCCCCCTCTTGGCGGCGAGCCCGGGGGGAAGAGTCAGAGGGGGCGGGCCTTCTCAGAAGGCTCGGAAGCTCCTGGGCCTTCTGAGAGGTGTCCGATGCCTTCCCCGAAGACACCCAAAAAAGTTCTCGGAAGGCGCGAGGGCTTCTGAGAAGCCCCGCCGACTTCTCAGAAGGCCTGCTCCTGCTCACCTCCCCATTCTCGCTCGCAGCCGGGTCTGGCTCTTGCCTCGTAAAACTCGGGTCTCCGAAGGCCGCTCGGGACGACCAGGGCGCGCCCAGAACGCCCTCGGCGAGGCGCAGCTGCTGGCAAGCACCCCGAGGATGGACAAAAAAACGCCGAGAAGCGACGAGGACGTCCGAGGCGACGAGAGCTGCCTCGGCTCGCCGCCGAGCGGCCGTGGGCTCCCGCTGCGCGCCCGAGAGCTCCCCCCACCTCCCCGCGAGTCGGGGGTGCGCAAGCATGGAGGTAGCGATCCCTGGATTTGGTAGGGGGCCACATGCGAACCCTACCCCTACCCCTACCCCCCACGACTTTGGAGGGGGAGGGGGTAGGGCTCGCATGTGGCCCCCTGTTTGGCGCACGGCCGCCTCACCCGTGCATCGGGGGAGATGCCCTCCCCAGAAGGCGGCCGGTGCCCGCTCGCTCGGCGGCGGAAACCCGCGCTTTCCCATGGGAACGGGGGACCCGTCACCTATAGGTCTGCATTCCAGTGCTCTTTCACCCCGCGAAAGCGGAGCTCTCCGAGATCACGCGGGGCGGCTGGTCAGCTCGCGTGTCCATTCCTCGC